ATGAACAAAAGGGGGGAACTGTTATAGTATTAAAACAAAGAGGCCATTAGACTGAAGTGGCTCTAATGCCTTGGTAGCCTAAGTAAGCAAACCCATCACAAACAGCAAAATAGGCTTTCCCAAATAAGGCAACTGCTTAAGCTATAACCATTCTAATAATTGCTTTGCTTTGCTTTGCTTTGCTTCTGCATCCTCTGTATAAAAACCTTGCCTCTGGATCCTGGAGGTGGAATGTTCCTAACAATCAAAATCGACCAATTCAAATGAAAGTATTCCCAAATAAATTCTTAAAAGTTATACTGTGCCTCAGTTTATCTTTTAACACCAGAAATGGCAGCCTTGAGCTCCTCTCCCATCCCCAGAGCACCCAGGGTGGCAGTGCCCAGAGCCGCCACGTCCCTGGCGTGGATGGATCTTAAAGCTCTGCTTCTGTCCTCTATGCCAGCACCTCTTCCTCCACCTGTGCTGCTCATGTGGGAGCTCCCCTGCAGTCTGTCTCCCCACTCTCCTCTCATTGGTGACACCTGTGCTCTAGGCTCCTGGGACCTCCTCGGTCCCTTCTCCTTGTCACTCCAGCTGCTGCTTCCATCCTCCCCCTTCCAATCCATCCTCCCCAAGGCAGCTAAGGGGCTCTTTGGAAAACACAGATCTGATCCATCTCTCCTCTGATAGAAGCCTTACTTTCACTGACCCCAAAACGCCCTTGAAGTGAAGAACACACCTCCAATGTGGGCCCAGCACCCCACCATCGGCCTATCTCCCTCCCTCTTTCTCCTTTTTCCCCCTTCCTCCTCACACTCGGATCCTCTGGGATCACCTGAGGGCCTCATTGCTCAGGCCTGTGCACAGGCCACTCCCGCAGCCTGGGCCTCCCTGGCCCTCAAAGGCCACTGGCCAATACTGCAGACACATGGGAGGGCTCACTCCTTTTCATCCAATTCAGTCTACTGAAGCAGCAAATGAATAACGAATCTAGTGAATAAGCTGGGAGTGAACCACTCAAGAGCTTCCTGCAGGTGACAGATTGGTTTCGCTCCAAGATTCTCAGGAACCCACCCAGCCTTGGAGTCTTTGGAATGGGCTTTGGAATGGGCTTTGGAATCAGACATTCCAGAGTCTCCATTCTGGCTCCATGTCTTCCTGAGGTCTTTGGTGGGTCATTCTCTGGCTCTGAGCGGCCTCCTTCCCTCATCTGTAAAATAGGAGTGATGACATTTACCCACAGTTGTGAGGAAGACACAGTGATGAGGCTGCTTTCCACTCCGACCCTCACCCCCATCTAGGGCCACACCTGGCCTCCCCCATCCAATCTGTCTGGAATCCTGTGGCCTCTACATTCAAAACAGATCCAGAGTCTGGCCACTCATCATCTCCACCCCTACCCTACTGGTCCACACCACCCTCTACTCCTCCTGGATCCCTCCCAGCCCCCTCACTGGTCTCCCAGTGGGCTGTGCCCTTGTGACCTTCAACTGTGATCCTTTTAGAACACTATCCAATCACACACCTCCTCTGCTCAAAGAACATCCCACCTGAGCCCCTCACCTTCTGGTCTAGGAAACACGGTCACCTCTTCAGAATGGCAATTTTCTCTTCCTCTGAACTCAGGCCCTCCTTAGAGAGACGAAAGGGGAGCAGCCTCCCACTTTCTAATGTTTTGCACCAAACCAGCTTTGAATGACACTGAACAAATCACTAGCCCCTCCCAGCCTCAGTTTCATTACCCGGAAATAGGGAAGTAGAATCTACTCCCTCAAGCTGTGGGAGGTCTAAGTGTTCAGCACATCCCCGGAACCTAGTAAGTACTCAATGAATATTAGTTCACATCCCCCCTGTACCCAAAACCTTCCTTGATCCATCCCAGGGCTGGGTTGTACCTACACTGGGCCTAACAGCAGACACTGGGGTGTGGGCGGGGGTGCTGTAACAGGATGGTAGCTGAGAGGAACTTTTGGACTCACTGCCACTCTCTGGCAAGACTGACCCAAAGAGGCTGTCAGCCCCACACAAGGCCCACCATTCCCCAACCCCAATGCCCAAGAGAGGACTTACCACCCCCCTGGGCTGTGCTAAGGATCAACCAGACAAGACCTGCCCAGGGCATCTCAGAAGTACCTCACTGGACAGTGAGGAGGGACTTCTCTTCCAGTGAGCAGGGTGGCTCCCAGCTCTGAGGGCTTTGTTAGAAGCTGATGGGCTGGGCATGAATCCCCCCAACATAAGTTTCCAGGTAGAATAAGAGGATCGGGGGCTGTACAACTCGGAATGCTGGATGAGGGCAGTCAAGGAAGCCGAGTCCTGTCACCACCACCAGCCTCTGGGCTACTTCTTCCCACCTCTAGGAGCCACCTCCCTTTCCAGGAGATTGCATATGCAAACACTTTCCTACCCTACATCCTGGGACTGTTTTTGCCACAGAGGACAAAGGAGTTCATTTCCCGGGATTAGGATGAAACTGCGCCTGTACCCACAAGGTTAACGTGGGAAACAAAGTAACCAAAGTTTCTGAGCTTGCCTTGCAGGATAGCAGGAGGACTACTGATAAGAGAGGGACTTGCTGATAGCCCCTCTGCCTGACTAAGCATCACAGAGGAGCATTGAGAAGCTAAAATGACCGACTGTAAGCTTTACTCATTGTAAGAAATATTAAAGACAGTCCCCCTGTGCAGAGGACACTTAGAACTTCAGCCCCCAAGGCCACATGCTCCCCTCCCTGTCTTATTCTCACAATGTGCTTTAGAAAAATGCTTAGAATTCCATGTAGGCAAACTAATCTGTAACCTGTAGAAAGAATAACTTGTTAGCAGAAAATTTATGTCCTCTGCCCAAACTGTTCCTTCTGTCCCAGATAAAGAAGTAACTGAGGTTTTCTTAGATTCCTCAGGAACGTTGTATTTTAACAGATCTGCTATGGAGAGGCGCCCAACATTCTACAGTGGTCCATCACCTGACACTCTTAAGCCCCCTCCCCAACCCCATTTGGCTTATATAAGTCATTTCCAAATCAGGTGCCTTTAAGATGTGTTTTTTAGGACGATAGTTCGCCACCTTCCAATACGCTAGCTTATCGCTTATTAAAGTTCTTTCTCTACCGCCGCCGGCTTGGCATTTTATCTTGCCGCAAGCCCTTGCTCAGTATCATTTTGAGGATGATAGAAGTACAGTGAAGGGCCTTTATAAACCTGAAAGCCTTTCAGCCATATTGACAGTCCTACCACTGTTACTGTCACCAAGCAGGCGCCTAGAGAAACTGAAAGGTGGGTTTGGAAGCAATTAACTATTTTTCCAAGTTGTTTCTTTTCTTTTGTATGGTAAGGAGATGTAACCACCAGCCATCCTGAAACTGACCAAGGGAGGCACTCAAGAGAGATGTAACCACCAGCCATTCTAAAACTGACCAAGCCTCACCACAAGAGCTATGCCCATGACCTTTGCTTTATTTTTAATGCAAAGATCTCTCTGGGAGGAGCTTAGGCCTCATTACGTGGAAGTATGTTCTCCAACTGAGCCTGTGCAAGTGAATACCCGCCTCTCCCTTTTGGATATTCATTGCCCAACCAAATAAAAGTTCCTGATTTCCTTTGTTTGGGGATGCCATGACTTTGGAAATGATTCCTCTTGGCCTCCTATTTGCTGCAAATACACTTTACTTTGTGAGACAACTTCCACTGGTTGTAGAGTCTTATTTAACTCACCAGGAGGCGAGCCCACTTGGTTCAGTAACATTACTACTGAATAAGTAAAGTTTATTTTCAGCTCAACAGGAGTTAAAATGGAACCAAGACAATCCCTCCAAGCCTGGAGACCCCCATCCTCCACTTTCCTTCTTAGAGGGCCAGAAGGCACCTAAGGCACAGCCCAGCTTTCCCAGGGCCACAGCCAGACAGACCAAACTGTAGTGAAAGTGTACACACACCGTAACGTGGGTCTCCAGGTTGTCGAAGAAAGAAGCAAAACACTTAAAAGGCACAAAGCAAAGGACCTTCTAAGCAGTGACACTGTGACAACGCCTAACAGACAACACAGCAATCTCTCTCAGGGCCAGAAATCACAGAAGTCATTTGGGTGAAAAACAAAACAAAACAAAACCCAGGGCTGGCCTGGTGGCGCGTAGTGGTTTAAGTTCACACGCTCTGCTTGGGCGGCCCCGGGTTCGCAGGTTCGGATCCTGGGCGTGGATCTACACATCACTCATCAAGCCATGTTCTGGTGGCATCCCACATAAAAAAATAGAGGAGGATGGGCACAGATGCTAGCCCAGGGCTAATCTTCCTCAGCAAAAAGAGGAGGACTGAGAAGAGATGTTAGCTCAAGGCTAATCTTCCTCACAAAAAAACACAAAACAAAAAACCAAACAAACAAAACCCAAAGCCCTCAGTGAGCTTGTACAACTGCTCAGACTGCAGCTCCCAGCTGTCAAGTCCCCTCGGGCTGTTTAAGGGGCATGCATGTCACAGATACAGGCCCAGCTGGTGGAGGATAGAGAACCATCCAGAAACTCCCTGGTGGCCTTTTGTCCTTTCCAAATGAAAAAGCTTCAGGGAGGGACTGGCTCAGTGGTGCAAGCAGTTAAGTGCCAGCGCTCTGCTGCAACGGCGGGGGTTCGCGGGTTCGGATCCCAGTGCGCACTGTCGCACCGCTTGTCAGGCCATGCTGTGGCCGGGTCCCATATAAAGTGAAGGAAGATGGGCATGGATGTTAGCCCAGGACCAGTCTTCCTCAGCAAAAAGAGGAGGATTGGCAGATGTTAACTCAGCGCCTATCTTCCTCACAAAAAAGAAAGAAAGAAAGAGCTTCAGGGAACAAACGCCTGAGGCATTCTTGCAGCTTCAGGAACGAGGCGGCCACAGAGGTCTGCTTTTCCGGTCTGACCAAGACTGGACCTCCCGCGCCCCTTTCTCACAGGCTGGGGTCCCCTTGGGCCACTTCCTGCCAGCAGTGACCCTGAAGACGGAGGCACCATGAGGAGCACCCCGAGCCAGGGTGGGAAGGTCACTCACGCGTCCAACACGAAGTAGAGGTCGAAGGCGCCCTCGCAGGATTTCCCTTTACCCGCACTGCTCCTCTGGTGCCTTGCATCTTGGTGGAAGTTTCTCCAGCCTGGGAGTTGGTGGAGGAATCTCTCTGTGCTCTGCAGTGGAGGTGGCAGCAGAAGCAGCAGCAGCAGGAAGTAAAGGGGGCCAGGCCCTCCGGGGCCTCTGCTCCCCATTTTCTAAGCCGCACTCTCTCGTGGGGCTGGGGTGGGATCAGCACCGTCGACCCCCAGCCATCTCGGGCCTCCACCTCCACTGCGTCGCCTGTGCCCGGGGACTCAGCCCCTCCCGCGCTTTCACCAGGGCGCGTGCGCGAGCCTCCACCTGGTAGCTGCCCCGCCGGCCAAGGAGGCGAAGCGGCTCTGGCCCCAGGCTCTCACTACCTGCGCGGCGCTTCCCCCGCCTCGCCTCGCGGAGGCCGAGTCTCCCGTCGTTGTGATGGACAGGAAGGTTGGCATGGTGACTTTGTGACCTGCAGCTCTGCTCAGAGTCCTGCCTCTTGACAGCCCCAGGCGGGAGTCATGGGATCCTTGGATGCGGGGAAGAGGAGGCCTCCATTTGTCCCTCATCCCAAACGCTTACAGGTGGCCATTAACATCCTCCAGAAACCCTGCCTTTCTGTAAACTGAAAGGGCACTGAGGTGGCTTAGCTAGGGACGTCACTGTGGGTGAGGAGGTCAAGGAACTGGAGTCTGGTGTGCTGTAAAGGTCACTCCTGTGAATACTGAAGTCGCCCAAGGGATGGAAGGATCTAGAAGGGGAAGGTATGCAAGGATGCCAGAGTTCTTTGTGAATGAGTTACCTCATTCCGCAGTTACCTACTGCGGTGAAATGAACCACCCCAAATTAGTGACATAAGACAAGAACCATTGTATTATGCCCACAGGTTCTGTGTCCAGAAATTCAGAGAGCGCTGAGTGGGGATGGCTTGTCTCTGCTCCGTGGAAAAACATGGGCATAGACAATTCTGAGTCAAAAGTGATTTAAAAACTCAGTCTGTGATGTAAAAAGTATTTAGAAATTCCTTAACCAATTTATTTTATTTTCTTCGTTTTGTATGCACAAAATAAGAGTGATATATGATAAAAATCTTTCTCTAAAAGAATGTAAAATAGATCTTTCAACATATATAACAAAAATTACAGGTGATAAAAAGCATTGTGTTGGCTTTTTTGGGGGGGTGGAGTGGTATTTAAAATAATGGAATATCTTAAATAAATGATCCTTTGGAATTGATGAAATTGGCATACATCTCCCATTGGCGTATTAGTTCTTCCTTGCTTCATATCCTTCCTGACACTTGGTATTGCTGCATTTTTGTGTATTTACCTATTGATTAGTCATCTGAGTCTCTTAATTTGCATTTCCCAAATTACTGATGGGATTGGTCTTCTGTTCAGGAGATTTTGGGTCGTTTTTCCCCCTTTGTGAAGGGCCTGTTCTGCCTGCATCCATTTTCTCATTCGGAGTTTCTCTTTTTCATATGGATTCCTTAGCATTCCTTATATATCACTGATACTAATCCTTTATCACTGGTTGCAAATATTTTCTTCCTTGTGTGGCTTGTTTTTCACTCTATTTGTTGCCTTTTAATAATCAGAAGTTCTTAATTTTAATAGTTTATTTTTCATTTTCAAAAACTTTTCAGAGTTGTACTGTTTTGTATCCTATGCAAGGAATTCTTTCCTGTTAAGGTGAAACACATTTTATCTTAAAAGTTGTATAGATTTGGCTTTTATATAGAAGTCTTTAGTCCATCTGGAATTAATTTATAAGGGTGATTTGTGCCAGGGATCTGATTTCATGGTTTCCCATACATAGAGGAAACTGTCCCAGCCCCAGTTGCTGGGGAAATGGGACGATAGAAAAACTATCCCATTTTTTCTTAATGGTTTTCATGTCACCTCTGTTGTGTTTCCAGTTTCATTAGATTTGGGTGTGGTTCTGTGCTCTCTGTTCTATTCCCTTTATCTGTCTATTGGGTTATAGCGATAGTGTCAGTACCACACTATCTCAATTAGTATAGTGTGGACCAGTTCCTCATTGTCCCTTCCTTTTGTGAGGAAGGATTGTGCTTCCTTGCCACATTCATGGCAAGCTTGGACTTGATTCCACCAGTGAAAAGTTAATAGAAGTTACATGTGCCACTTCTGGACAGAATCTTTAAGAATCTAGGTATGATTCAGGTGGACCCAACAGCCTGGTACCTACCTGAGCAACTACGATGTGCAGTACCCTCTTGGGAACCTGGGATGGAGATGTGCATGTGGGACAGTGAGACATATGAGTGGGAAAAACAGTTTGTGCTTTTAAGCTGATCCAGTTGGGGCGGTGTTGTCACCAGAAGATAGCCCAGCAGAATCTGAAACATAGGGTATGGAATACCTAAGCTAACAACCACTGAGTTCTACAGCAAACCTTGATGGGGAAGGGTGAATCACTCACCTGGTTTTTTGTATGCTAATTGTTGGCCATTTGCTCTTTCATGTAAATTTTAGAATCAGCTCATCAAGATTCCGCTCCCCCAAAACCCTCTTAATATTTGATTACAACATTAAATATATAGATACATTTGCAGGGATTTGATATCTGCAATCTGGACTCCTCCTGTCAGTGAACATGGCAAAGTCTTCACTGATTTAGCCCTTTTCATATAAATTTCCCTATGAAGATCTTGACCTCTTTTGCCAAGTGCCTTCCCTAAATACCCTATATTTTTGTTGCTATAGTAAATGGCATTTTAAAAATAAAGTTTTTAAACTGTTTACTGCTGTCATGAAACAATGTATTTATTTATTGATGTATTAACCCAACTTGCTAAACTCTCTTATTCTAAAATTATATCTTCAGAGTTGTTTGTGTTTCTATGTAAAATTAAAAACAAAACCGAAAAACATTGTGCTGACTGGTTCTCCAATGACCTGTCGACCAGAAGCTGTGATGGAGGCGTTCTTGATTTTAAAGAGAATTCTTCTAGCATATCACCATTAA